CTGGCCGCAGCCCTGAGCCGTGTCCCTGCGCCCTGTCCCCCCAGGTGCACTACACCTTCAACAAGGTGCTGATGCTGCAGGAGCCTTTGCTGGTGGTGGCCGCCTTCTACGTCCTCTTCTTCACCGTCATCATCTACGTGCGCCTCGACTTCTCCATCACCAAGGTACCCGGCCGCTCCTCGGTGGCTGAGGCTGGCCTCCAACTTGGGATCCTCCTGCCTCAGCCTCCCAAGGGGCTGGGCTCACAGGCGTGGCCCCCAGGCCCGGCTGAGTCTGTTTAAGAAGATTCTTTTAACGTCGTAGATGTGACTTGAAGGCCTTGGTTTTTATTTATTGTCACACGATGCTGAGATGGGAACCCAGGGCCTCCCACGAGCCAGGCCAGCGCTCTGCCGCTCAGCCCTGGCCTTTCCCTGTCCGTGTCCTGTGCGCGACTCTGGCCTGTCTGGCGGGGGCCGCGGGCATCCCTGGGAGCTGAGGTCCGGGTGGTCAGGAGCCCCTGTCCCCTGCTGCAGGACCCGGCTGCGGAGGCCAGGATGAAGGTGGCCTGCATCACGGAGCAGGTCCTGAGCCTGGTGAACAAGAGGCTGGGCCTCTACCGCCACTTCGACGAGACCATCAACAGGTACAAGCAGTCGCGCGACGTGTCCACGCTCAACAGCGGCAAGAAGGGCCTGGAGACGGAGCACAAGGCCCTGAGCAGCGAGATCGCCCTGCTGCAGTCGCGCCTCAAGACCGAGGGCTCCGACCTCTGCGACCGGGTGAGTGGCCCTTGGGATCCTTCCCCCGTCCATCTGGGGTGATGGCGCAGCGGCTGGGGACCGTGGGAAGCCGGGTCTGGGTGCTGAGCGGGCCTGGGGGGAGCTCTGCGGCCTCTCTAGCGCCGTCTGTGCTTGTGGCCGGGAACCCAGAGGTGAGCCGGGCTCAGGGCACTCCCGGACGCTTGGGAGGCCGAGGCAGGAGGATCCCAAGTTGGAGGCCGGCCTCCACAATTTAGTGAGAAAAGGCTGGGGATGCGGCTCTGTGATGAACTGGCCCCTAGTTCCGTCCCCAGGAACCAAAACGCACAGCAAGCCTCATCTGAGGACCCAGGGTGAAGCCCTGTGGAAGCTTCTGGCAGGTCCCCTGGCACACAGGAAGGCCACTCGGTGTCCCTCCTCCCTGCCGCTTGCCCAGCGAGGTCCAGTGGTTCAGCTGGACACCACCAAGGGCTAGTGGACATCGCCTGGCAAGTGTTGGGAAAGCGGAGTCACTCAGCTGGACATTCAGCAGTGTCGGGCCCCAGGGCCAGGTGCGGTGTCCCCGTGAGGGTGACACCTGGTAAACATGCGACCTCGTGTTTCTGAGAGTCCCAGGCGCATGAGGATGCTGACCCCAGGACTGGGATTCCCGGGAGAGGACAGGGTGCTCAGGGACCCGAGGGGCATATTATATTTAGAGATGGAGTCTCACTGAGTTGCTGAGGCTGGCCTCCAACTCGGGATCCTCCTGCCTCGGCCTCCCGGGCTGCTGGGATGACAGGCGTGGCCACGGCGCCTGGTGCTTGCTGGGCTTTGTGAGGAGGTGAAGGAGGCCTACCATCCTCCGCAGCCTGCCCCACTGTTCAGGTCTGAAAGC